CCCCCCCCGGACCTCTGCTTCCCTCTCCTTGGATATAGTTAGCTCTAGACCTCAGAAAGAAAGGCCTGAGCTGGTCACTCATCACTGCACACCCCTGACCTGGCCACGCTGCATGCGCAGAGCAGCAGCACACTGGCCGCATCCTCTGCAGGCACTGTGTGTGCCCCTCAGTGGCAAATTCTGCACTCCGCACCATCTGTGGATGCTTCTTCTGTGAATCCTTGAGGGAGGAGCCACGTCTCATCTCCACAGTGTCTGTAAGTCCAGCACTGTTTTATACTACACAGATGGGAGCAGCTGCTTAACAATTCTTTGTTGAATGAATCAATAATCCAAAATAAAAATCTCGACATAAAAAAAAGGAGAGGCACAGAGATTTCCAGAGGGACACCTTTTAAAACCAAATACATGTCATTCTATTAAATACGATCAAATTTATTCAAGGAGTGGATGGGAGTATTCACCATCCTTCTTGCTATTCTCTCTCCCCTCTGGCAGATGTGCACTGAAGGCCACATGGGAGGAGGAGAGGGGGCCACTCAGTCCCTGATGCTGGCCTCTAATGCTGTAAGCTGTGACCACTCAGAGTGCACAAGGCTTGGGCACTCAAAGGTCCCATCTGCGGGCAGCACCTCCTATTATTCAGCTGGCCTCTGGGTGTCAACCTCCTGCAGGAACCCAGGAGCTGTGCTTCCAGCCCAGCTGCTCAGCTGTCGAAGCCGACTGGGGACCATGACTGGGTGTGGCAGCCTAGGCTACAGCCCAGGAGTGTGGACAGACCCTAAAACAGGAGCTCCAGGGCCAAACCTGAGGCTCTCAGGTCTTACAAGAATGGGAAGAGCCGCTTCTTCACGATGTAGAGGACAGTAGCAAGAAAGAGGGCAAGAGCAAGGAAAATCAAGAGTTTGTCTGTCAGCTCCCGACGATTATATTTTGTGATGAGCTTCCGTCCAAGCTGGATGGTCCCCGACATGGATTTAAACTCTTCATTTGCATCCAGGATAGTTCGAGAAGAATTCACTGAAACAAAGGAGACAGGGATCCTGACTCAAGAGACAGAACAGGGCAAAATGCAGACCTTGCATTGATCTGGTGGGGGGTGAGGGGTGGGGGCGTGGGTGTGGGTGGGGGGTCAGTCATTATAGCACCTGCTAGCTGAAGCAGGATTGAATGAGACAATTTGGATGAACAAAGAGGAAGAACATGTGAACAAGAGGCATCATCATTGGTCCCAGGCGGCCCAGAGAGGTGTGGGCAGTTTACAGTGTCACAAGGCCACAACTACGAACCATCAAATGTAGGAAATAAAGGAACAGATAACATTTAATTTGCAAGTGTTCCATGTACCTAAGGCTCTGAGATGATGGAGGGGGAATCAAATAAACCCAACTGAGTACCCCCAGGAAGCAACCTAGAAACCTGAGAATGGGCAGGAGATTCATCTTATAGACTGACTTTTGCACTGTCTAGAGATGTTGACCAATATGGTAGCAACTCCAGAGCATGTGAAATGTGAATCATCCAAACTCAGATCCCTGCAAACGTAAAATACACAAAGTCTCAAAGACTTAATACAGAAACAAAAAGATTTCAGTTAGTTTTCAATTTTAACTGCATAGTAATGCTCTGTATAGTTTAAATAATTTCATTTGTTTCTTTTTACTTTTTAGTGTTGCCTACTAAAAAGTTTCAAATTTCTCATGTAATTCATAATATAATTTTTCTGGACATGGCTGCGCTTGTGGGCTTTTTATTGTCCCTGACCAAGTATATAGAGCGCTCTAGTGGCCAAGTGGAAAGGAGCTGTGCTGCCAACCAAAAGGCACATTGCTCAAATCCACCAGCTCTCTACAGGAAAAAGATGGGCAATCCCCTCTCATGTAATTTACTGCCTTTGAAAACCCAGTGGAGGGTCAGTTATGGGTTGGTTCCAACTTGATAGTACATAGCAACATAACTTGTTGCCTAGTGGCAAGGAGTTATGCTGCCAACCCAAAGGCACATGGTGTGAATGCACCAGCTACTTTGTGAGAGAGAAAGATGGGCAATTGAAAAAACTCTGGAAAATAGCTAAAGGGTCAGTTATGACTCGGTTTTAACGCCACAATATATAACAATCATGTATATAAGAAGTTATAACCATGTATGTAAAAGTTCTGGTGTACAGTGTATTCTGTGTTGCTAATCAAAATGTCAGTGGTTTGGGGCCACCAGCCACTTAAGAGGGAGAAATATGGGCAGTTTCCTCCCATAAAGATTTACAGCTTCAGAAATCCAAAGAGAATCACTATGAGTCAGAAATGATCCTATAGCAGTGGTGTAGTCATATACATACTGTACTGTCATGCATTAAGTTGCATAGTTTTTTTGCAAGCTACAAAATCTCCTCAAGTATTAGCTTCCCATGAGTACTCTGAGCATTCATTGTGTGTATGTGCTACTATGTTGGTGTGCGATGTGTGGAAACTGCAAGAATTACCTTTCTACAAACTCTAAAGACAATACATAAACCAATTACCAGAGAGAAAAACAAACAATAAAAAGTCCTCTTGGCCTTCTTTTTCTGGGTTTTCTTTTGCTAAAACTAGAATAGCATAATGAGATGTCATATACTCATCATCAGATTAGCCCGTTGAGTCACCTGATGAGGCAGAAGTCACACTAGCCAGTGAGCTTCAGCTGAGCAGCAGGCAGGAGACCCTGGGAGCAGTGCTGGCCCAAGGCTCTGGAGGCAGGTCTCTGGGACAAGGTTCCCTTCCAGCCCAGCCCTACCTAGAGTCTGCATCGCTTCCTCGCTCTGCTGGACCTGCTGGGACATCATCCTGCTGATCCCCATGAGGTTTTCGGTGATGGAGCTGGAGGTCTGGGCCAGGCTCTCTTTGGTGGTTTTTCTAGAGGTCCAAAGCAAGGGGAGAAGGCATGTCAACCAAAGGCAAGCAGCCCAAAACCCCACAAATGAATGAGATACCACATTCTACCTGCCAAATTAGTACAGATTTCTTAAATGAACTAAAGGCATGAGTGTGGCCAGACCACAATCTTGTGGACTAGGATGAGTGGACAGGAATGTAACCAGAAAGCCACATGGCAATCCCTATTAGCAGCCTTGAAGTGTTCATGTCTTGGACCCAATAACCCCCTCCTTGGAAACTTCTCATAAGGAAATACACAAAATATGAACAGTTTCATGTCAAAGATATCACCTGCTGTATTGTCTATAATGCGTAAAAAAGGAAACATTAAATATACACCGATACGGGATGGATTAATACAATGGAATACTAGGTTAAAATTAGATTTGAAGAGGGTTTTTTGTTTTTGATGTTGTCTAGTTTTTATTTCAGTCATAAAATTAAGTCTGCAATCCTTCCAACTTTGGGGAGGAATTAAGAAAACATGGAGCCCAAAGAACTGTAGCAAGAGCACAAAGATTAAAAGGTACGGCAAGCACAATGGGGGTCGCAGGGTGATCTCTGGAGCAATAGAAGGAATGATGTGGTGATTAAGAGAAAACAAGAATGACAGGTCATAATTAGAGTTGACCACAGTCAGCAATGGTGATCTTTTTGCTGGTCGTGCCATTCCTGGACCCAAAGTACTCCAGGCTTCCACAACGTTCATGCCTTCTTTCACCTTGCCAAAGATTACAGATTTGCCATCCAACCATCCAGTCTTAGCAGTACAGATAAAAAACTGGGAACTATCTGTATTGGGTCCAGCATTTGCCATGGACAGGATGCCAGGACCTGTGTGCTTCAGGATGAAGTTCTCATCATCAAACTTCTCCCCATAGCTGGATTTGCCACCCGTACTATTATGTCGTGTGAAGTCTCGACCCTGGCACATAAACCCAGGAATGATTCTGCGAAAGCAGGAACCCTTGTTACCAAATCCTTTCTCCCCAGTACTCAGAGCACAGAAGTTTTCTGCTGTCATAGGGACTTTATCTGCAAACAGCTCAAAGGAAACAAGGCCTGAAGGTTTGTCGAAGTACTACGGGAATGACCACGGCTGGGGCGAGCGTAGCAAACAACTGTACTGCTGAGGCGACGGCTTCTGCAAAGCAGCTTGAAGAGGTTTTTTAAGACAATGGGAAAATCTTTGTGCCTAAATGAAGGGTATAATACGAAATTATATATATGGTATAATTTGACTTTGTAAAAGACATGTTGTTGTTGTTGTTGTTGTTATGTGCCGTCGAGTCGTTTCCGACTCATAGCGACCCTATGCACAACAGCCCTAAACCCTGCTCTATCCTGCGCCAACCGCACCGCCTCTGACACACCCATCCCGATTACCCCAGTCACCGAATCAATCCATCTCATAGAGGGTCTTCCCCTCCTGCGCTGTCCCTCCACCCTCCCAAGCATGATGTCCCTCTCCAAGGACCCGTCCCTCCTGGCAACATGTCCAAAGTATGTCAGATGAAGCCCCAGAATCCTTGCCTCCAAGGAGTAGCTTGGTTTAATCCGCTCCAAGATGAATCTGTTTGTTTTCCTGGCAGTCCATGGTACATTCAGTACCCTTCTCCAGCACCACAGCTCAAAAGCATCCACTCTACTTCTGTCCTCCCTAGTCATTGTCCAACTCTCTGATGCATAACAAGCGATTGCAAATACCATGGCCTGTATCAGGCACACCTTAGTCTCCAGAGAGACACTGTTGCTCCTGAGTACCTTAGAGAGGTCCCTAACAGCAGACTTTCCCATCGCGATACACTTTTTGATTTCCTGACTGCTGGTGCCAAGAGTGTTGACTGTGGAGCCGAGCAAACTGAAGCTGTGAACACTCTCAATCTCTCTGTCATCCATCCTGACACTGCCAATTGGTCCAGTGGCGAGAATCTTTGTCTTCTTGACATTGAGCCTCAGTCCATATTGAAGGCTGCAGTCCTTGACCCTTCGCAGCAAGTGCATGAGGTCCTCCTCAGTTTCAGCAAGAAGGGTTGTGTCATCTGCATTACGGAGATTGTTAATAGATCTTCCACCAATCCTGATGCCACAATTCTCCTCATAGAGCCCAGCCTCTCAGATAATCTGCTCTGCATACATGTTGAAAAGGTATGGAGACAGGATGCATCCCTGGCGTACACCCTTCCCAATTTTGAACCAAGCAGTGTTACCCTGCTCTGTTCTGACTACTGCCTCTTGGTCCAAGTATAGGTTTCGTATTAGCACAATTAAATGTTCTGGGATTCCCATTCTTCTCAGAGTCAGCCACAGTTTGTTATGATCCACACAGTCAAATGCTTTTGCATAATCAATGAAACACAGATAGACATTCTTCTGGTATTCTCTGCTTTCAGCCAAGATCCATCTAACATCAGCAACAATATCCCTAGTACCACGACCCCTTCTCAACCCAGCCTGGACTTCCGGCAGTTCTCTGCTGATGTGCTGTTCTAATCGTTTTTGGATGATCTTCAGTAGAATCTTGCTTGCATGTGAAATCAATGACACTGTGAAAACACAGTATATTGAAATGTTCATTAAGTAATAGGATTATGACTTATTTTCATTCTGCAGCACACACACTTTTTTTTTTCAGTGTTAAGGGTTTATTGTCCAGAATGGCTTTCTTAGCCATTGTACTTGATTTTGCCACATGGATCGGATGTAGTGAACACTTTAATTATTTTGTATCTTATGGTACAAACATTATGGAGTACAGAAAGATACAAGGAGAGATACCTTTGCCTTAAGAGATCCCCTCCTCGGAGCAGTTCTGCTTTCTCTAGATTGTCGATGGCAATTTTGCAAGTAAGATTTGCTTTCCTCCATGAAGCTTGATTACTGAAATGAAGAGGATATGTGAGTTTCTGCTGACTCCTATTAGGCAGTGACTTCTAATCACAGCATATCTGTCCAGCCAGGCAAGGACAGAAAAGACTATCAGTCTAGACCAGAGTCCACCTCAGTCTGCTTTTACTTCCTCCTCTTGGTGCCAAGCACTCTAACTCAGACCTCAACACTTCCTGTCTAAACCTCAAGTGCCCTTGGTGTCAGTGTGGAGCACAGGCCACACTACATAGCACTAATGTACCTACCACCTACTCACACACTGGTAACCACTCATATCCCCCACCTGCTTACACTAGCCTCTGCTACACCGACTGTCAGGTTTATAGACAAAGCTATGTCTGTGAAAATGACGCTAAGCAACTACTCAAATCAGAAGGCTTAAAGTAAAAATGATCCAGAGTTTCCCAGGTTTGGGGAAAGCTGTTTGAAGCAACACTTCTCATTATGAATTACTGTTATTGTTGTGTACCATCGAGTCGGAACCAAGCCACAGCTGATTCTGCAGCAGGTTTTCAGAGGCAGTCACTTGCATGAAAGGAGACTGCTCATCTTTCTCCCATGGAGCAGCTGGTGGATTTGAACCACATGTCTCTGGGATTGTATACAGTTTTTTACCACTAGACCATGAGTGCTCCTTTCTCTTTATGAATATGATGCAAAAATTAAATGTGAAGAGCAAAGTTTTGTGTCATGCTGAAAGACAATTTTGTGGACAAGTAACATCTACCTCAAATCATTACTGAGAGTTAGCTTATAGCTGCAATTATGTAATGAAGCACTGGCAGGTAGCTGTAATTGTAGCACATTTTGTTTAACATAACATCAGTTCTTACTCAAATCTTTCTGAAATTTTGACCCATCTTAAGTAGATTCACTTTAGTGGATACTTTCTGGTACCAATTATGTTTAGATAAAAAAGGGCACTGCTATGAGCCAGCATGGACTTGACAACAGGTTTTTCTTTTTGGTTTTAGTATTATCAAAGTGGGAGCTAACTTGATAACAGCTGATAATTACAAGAGTGATCACTTTATTGTTTTAAAAATATAAAAAAAACAGCACAATATTATAAATTATACACACGGGCCTGTATACTCCCTGCCCATATTCCCATCTGAAAATAAATGATCTTGAGAAAACATTCAGCACGTGTGCATAACAATTCAATTAAGTCACCACGAAACCAGATTTATTAGGGAAGCATGCACTTGCCTCTCAGGGCACGCTGACTGAGGAGCCAGCAGGGAGCCCCAGACCACCCACCTCAACATCTGCTTCTTGTGATTTTCCACCTCCTGAAGCAGAGCTTGCTTTTCCGACTCTTTGTCTTGCTCTTTAGCTGACTGTTCAAGATCCTTTTAGGGGGAAACAGCTCCGTATTAGTATGGTTTTAAATTTCAGTATATAAAAAAATGTAAAAATCAACATAAAAATGGAAAAGTTCTTGTGTTTCTGACAAGGTCATGCAACAGCACTTGAAAGTACTCCCAAAACAGGACACTCAGGAATTCCAAGTAACCTGTAATAAACATCCTTCAAATATATTGCTGAGTTTGCAAGTCTGAGACTCACATACAAATGCTTACAGTCTATTAAGGCCTTACTAGGTGCCTGTGGCGGGGGTCATGCAGCTGACATGAGGGAGTTGGAGGAGATACTAATAAGGTTGTTGTTGTTACGTGCCGTTGAGCCACCTGCAACCCAAGACAACCCTATGTACGTACAGCAGCTCTAAAGCCTGCTCTGTCCTGAGCCAGTCTCACTGACTCCAACACACCAATCCCCATTGTCAGTCACTGTATCAATCCATCTTATCCAGGGTCTTCCTCTCCTGCGCTGATTCTCCACCCTTCCAAGCATGATGTCCTTCTCCAAGGACTGGTCCCTCCTGGCCACATACCCAAGTATTAAAGATGGAGCTTCAAAATCCCAGCCTCCAAGGAGAAACTTGGTTTCACCCTCTCCAAGACAGACCTATTTGTTTTCTTGGCAGACCATGCTATGTTCAAGACTCTACTCCAGAACTACAATTCAAAGACATCAATTCTGTCATCCTAGGTCACTGTCTAGCTCTCTGATGCACAGCAAGTAATTGCGAAGACCATGGCCTGGATTAAGCGCACTTTAGTCTCTAGACTGACATCGTTGCTTTTCGGCACTCTGGAGAGGTCCCTGACAGCAGCTTTTCCCTGTGCAATTCATTGTTTGATTTCCTGACTGCTGGTGCCAGAAGTGTTGACTGTGAAGCCGAGCAAGTTGTAATTATTAACAACCTCAATCTCTTCTCCATCTATCATGGTACTGCCAGTTGGCCCAGTGGTGAGAATCTTCGTCTTTTTGATGCTGAGCTTCAATCTATGTTGAAGACTACAGTCCTTGACCCTTCAGCAGCAAGTGCTTCAGGTCCTCTTCAGTTTCAACAAGCAAGGGTGTGTCATCTGCATAATGTAGGTTGTTGATGAATCTTCCTCCAATTCTGATGCTACATTCCTCCTCATAAAGCCCTGCTTCCCGAATGATCTATTCTGTATATGGAATGAAAAGGTATGGAGACAGGATGCACCCCTGGAGCACTCCTTTCCTGATTTTGAATCATGCAGTGTTTCCCTGCACTGTATTTAGGGTCACCCTCACTGTCAAAATGTTTACGATTTCAGCTACCACTGAAGAATCTGGACAGCTCTCAGGCATGTGCTGCAGAAGTCAGTCCCAGATCTGAATCTCCTTCACTGTCACTAAGCACTTTGGTTCTGTAGTCACTCACCTGTATTCTGTGCCGTAACTGCTGAAACTTCTCTTTCACTTTAGTGTTCAGGTCAGTAAGTGCACTTAATGGTCCTGAACAATCACGAATATCCTAAGAGACAGTGAAGACATAAAGAGGCAATGAAAGGAAATGAAATCACAGACACAGAGAGTTGACTTAGGAAAGAAATTAAGGCCGGCCTACTGACTGACACACATCCCAATCTTGCTCACCTCTGAAACAACAGCAAAACCATTACCATTTTTATTTTTCTCACCCCACTTCAGGTTAATTTTCAGCAGATAAAACCAGGCTGCTCCTTGGAGGCAAGGATTCTGAGGCTTCGTCTGACATACTTTGGTCATGTTGTAAGGTGAGACCAGTCCTTGGAGAGGGACATCATGCTTGGGAGGGTGGAGGGCAGGCGCAGAAGGGGAAGGCCCTCTGGGAGATGGACTGATTCAGTGACTGGGGCAATAGGGATGACTGTGTTGGAGGCAATGAGATTGGCACAGGAGAGAACAGAGTTTAGAGTTGTTGTACATAGGGTCGCGATGAGTCACAAGAGACTCGACGGCACATAACAACAACAATACTAAGAGCACACCAAGAAACAAACTCTATTTTGATCTTAATTATTAGTGGCACAGTGTGCTACAGGTCATGCTGCTAACCAAAAGTTAAGCAGTTCGAATCAACCAGCTGGTCTACAAGAGAAAGATGGACAGTCTCTTCTCATGAAGAGTTACAGCATTAGACACCTGATGGAGGTTTAGAAAGATTCTACTACTCAACAGCAGTGAGTCTGATTTGTTTGGGGGGCTTTTCTGAGCCCCCCCTTTTTTTAGTTTTAAAAGGAGCCTGGGTTGTGGGAGAAGAGGAGCCCTAGTGGTGCAGTGGTTAAAGCGCTCTGCTGCTAAACAAAAGGTCAGTGGTTCAAATCCACCAGTCGCTCAAAGGGAGAAAGATGGGCAGTCGGAAAAGACTGTTGTGCTCTGGCAAGTCAGAATCCTCTCACAGCTGACCTTTCAGTGGGTTTTCAGATGCACTGAAATATCCAGAGCAATGGGTAGATTCAATCTCCTTGCCTTTGGGGTTGCAATGTAACTTCCTACCCCTAGACCACCAGAGCTTACAAATTGTAAAAGCTGCACAATTACAGCCTTTTAAACCCTCTAGGGCAGTTTTACTGTCATAGAGGGTTGCTTTGAGGTGGAAGAGTTTGCTCTTCTTTTTAAAGAGTTTAAGGTTCTAGAGTGAGAGTGGTACAAACACTGCAGACTTGTTTGCAACCAAACCAGTTCTATTCTGACACTCAGTATGCTGCCTGAGTAAGAATCAACCTAACAGTAACTGGTTAAAGTTCTAGAAAACATCACCTGACCAGTCTGAAAGATTCAGAATGGCCTGTAGGTCTAACAAGAACGTACATTCCAAAATGACAGCTTCAGATCTTTATGGGAAATTGTGCTGCTTAAGTTTCTGTTCTCATACAAGATTAACTTTTAAGCCACTTACTGAAAGTCAGATACTTAAAATATTTATACCAACTGTCAATTTATCATATTAGCTTGCATGTTGTGATGTTAGAAGCTCTGCTGGAGCTAAAAAAAAAAATACCCTTCACAATAGCTAATCACAAGATTAAATACTTGGGAGTAAATCCAACCAGAAGCACAAAGGATCTATTCAAAGAAAATTACAAAACATTACTACAAAAACCAAAAAGAGACTTGGAGAAATGGAAGAATATCCCTTGTTCATGGAAAGAAAGACTCAATATTGTGAAATGACAATACCACCAAAGGCAATTTACATGTTCAATGCAATCCCAATACAAATACAAATTCCATTATTCAACAAGATGGAAAAGACAATCTCCAATTTCATCTGGAATGGAAAGAGAACCCAAATATGCAAAGCACTCCTTAAAAAGAGAAACAAGGTAGAAGGCATCTCACTCCCCGATTTCAAATCCGACTACGCTGCCGTGGTGGTCAAGACAGCATGGTACTGGTTACAATGACAGACACATAGATCAATGGAATAGAACTAAGAACTCAGAAATCAGCCCATCTACATATGGTCAACTGATTTTTGACAAGGAGATGAAATCAGTTAAGTGGGGAAACAACAGGCTTTTTAACAAATGGTGTTGGCAAAATTGGAAAACTAACTGTAAAAAACTCAAGCAAGATCCCCTCCATACACAAGAACCAACTCAAAGTGGATCAAGGACCTAGAACTAAAACCAAGGACCATAAACTTCATTAGAGAAAAGCTTGGAAGAACTCTAGAAGTCCTAATCCACAACATAAACAGTCTTCTAAGCATCCTGAAAAACCTACAACCAGGAGAGGATAAAATAAAAAGTATGAAATACCTTTGCATATCCAAAAATGTCTTCCACAGGGTAAAGAGGGAAGCCACAGACACGGGGAAAAAATATTTGGTAATGTCCTATCTGATAAGGGACTTATACCTAGAATTTATAAAATACTCGAACACAACAAGATAAACAACCCAATTGAAAAATGGGCACAGGAGATGAACAGACACTTTACCAAAGAAGACATTGAGATGGCAAACAAACACACGAAGAAATGTTCAAAATCCCTAGGTCAAAGAGAGATGCAAATCAAAACTACTATATCATCTCACCCCAGTAAGAATAGCAAAATTTAACAGAACACCAAACATCAAATACTGGTGAGGTTGGAGAAATTGGAACCCTTATTCACTGTTGGTGGGAGTGTAAAATGTTGCAAGCAATATGGAAGGCAGTATGGTGCTTTCCTCAAAAAGTTGGAAATAGAAATACCATTTAACCCAGCAATTGCATTACTAGGAATATACCATAAAGAAACTAGAACTGTCATTCAAACAGATATATGCACATGCTTATTGCAGCTTTGTTTACAACAGCAAAGAGCTGGAAACAACCCAAGTGCCCATCAACAAATTAATGGACAGAGAAGCTGTGGTATATTCACACAATGTAATACTACACTGCATTGAAAAATAAGGAACTCATGAAATATTATACAAAATGGGTAACCGTGGAGGACATTATGCTGAGTGAAATATCTCAGTCACAAATTAAAAAATACTGCATAGTGCCACTGTTGCAAAGAGGGACTGACATCTGAGTTGGGGGGAAACTAAAAGGGGATAAATAATATATAGTGCATTGAAACAGATGAGGGAGAGTACTGTTTAGGAGGAATACATGATTAGGTATTATTGTCATGACAAGAGTATAGAATGAAACCTGCAGAGTGGAGTGGTCTGGGGGGGGGGGGACTGTATAACAATTAAAGAATTTGTTTTTTACTTGTCAAAAAGAAATGCTAACTGGGGGGAGGGGTGGACAGGGAGGAAAGTCTGCAACAATGAATGAATGGAAATCCAAATTAATTTATTTAATTAAATAAAAAAGCAGCTCTGCCTACTGCCAAAGGGGCCCTTTAGAGTAGTGAGAGAAGATCTTCACCCTGAAACCCACAGCGTCCCTTTTCAGCAGGAAGTAGCTAAGAGAATACGCCATCCCCTTTTCCTTATGAATCAGGGTGAAGTCTCTCTCAGGGAGGAGTGATAGGGAATGGCAAAGGACACACTGACAAAGGAGATTAACAAAAATGACTTTGACAAGCACTGTGGCAATAGGACAATTAAAACAGACATTTGGATGGCAGGGGAAGAAGAACAAACTGGGGAGGAGGGTAGAGAGAATGGTGCAGCAATGAAGGAATGAAAACCCAAAATCCCTGTAAATGTTCATTAAAATTAATAAAATTTAATAATTAAAAAAAAAAGCAGCTCTGCCAACAGGATTTCAAATATCAGCAGAGTCACCCATGGTAGGAAGGATTCAGTAGCGGTTCTGGACTAAGACACACAAGGAAGAAGTCCATGGTGACCTACTTCTATTAAAAATGACGAGCAAAAGCCTTATGCGCAGTAGAGGAACACAGCCCACTCCAGTGCTAGAATATGAGTCCTTCAGTTGGATGAGCACTCAAAAAGCACCTAAGCGCGAGCTGCCTCCTCCAGAGCCAGCCTTAATGAGGATGAAGCAAAACCTTCAGGACCTTCACCTGCCGATGTGGGATGACTGAGAAACAAACTACAAACATTCATTAATCAGAATGCTGGTTACAATCCACTAGTGGCTCCAAGGGAGAAAGATGAGCAATTCTCCACCTCACACACTTCTGAAAAAACCTGGAGGCTCAGCTATGGGTCAGTTCTGATTTGATGGATGAGTTTGAGTTTTTTCCCAATAACATACTGATTATAAATACAGACCTCACCAGATGGAATACCCAGAAACTGCCTTGGGAAAGTCAGCTATCAGGGATCTCGCAAGAGTACTGAAGAGCAACAAGGTCAGGCCAGAGACTAAGGTGCGCCTGATCTGGTCTTTGCAATTGCGTGCTATGCATCGGAGAACTGGACAGTGACTAGGGATGACAGAAAAGAGAATTTATGCCTTTGAGCTGTGGTGCTGGAGAAGAGTGCTGAATATAACATGGACTGCTAGGAGAACACAAGGGTTTGTCCTGGAGAGGGTGAAGCTGGGCTGCTTCTTGGAGTCATGGATTCTGAAGCTTCGTTTGACATACATTGGTCATGTTGCAAGGAAGGACCAGTCCTTGGAGAGGGACATCATGCTTGGGAGGGTTGGAGGGACAGTGCAGGAGAGGAAGACCCTCGATGAGATGGATTGATTCAGTGACTGGGATAATGGAGGTAGGTGTGCCAGAGACAGTGAGCTTGGCACATGATAGAGCAGAGTTTAGGGCTCTTGGACACAGGGTCACTATGAGTCACAAGTGACTCAACGGCACGTAAGAACAAGAGAAAATGGAGAAGCTCTTTACTATATGTCAGAAGAAAGCAAGGACTGACCATGGAGCAGACTCTCAACTACTTATACACAAATTAGGACTAAAGAAAAACAAGTCCATGAAAGCCAAAGTATAATCCTGAGTACAGTCTGATTTTTTTTTCCCCTTATCAAGAACACACTTGATATACTGAAAGGAAATGAACGAAGAGCAGATGAATTGTGGCATAACTACAGACATGTAGGGTCAGCTATGAGTCGGTTCCAACTAGACAGTTATGAGTTTGAAAGAGTGAAAGAGCAAAAGTGTCACTTTAAAGACTAAAATGTGCTTGGTCCAAGCCATGGTCTTTTGAACTGTCTCACATGTATGTGAAAGTTAGACAATGAGTAAGACAGACTGAAAAGAATTGCCTTTGAATTGTGCTGGCAAAGAATATTAATTAGTCTGCCAAAAGAACAAACAAATCTGTCTTGCAAGAAGCAGTGAGCCTGCTTCTTAAAAGTGAGGAGAGTTAAGATTTCACCTCACATACTTTAAGCATGTTATAAAGAGGAGTCAGTCTGGGGAGAAAAACATTATGATTAGTAAAGCAGAGGGCCTGCAAAAAAAGAGAAAAACCTTTCATGGGATGGATTAGTACAGTGGTTAAAACTTAGGCACCGGTGTGATTGTGAGGAAGAGGCGGAATCAGAGTGTGTTCCATTCTGGTGAACACAAGGTCACTATGAATAGGAGCTGACTCAACACGGTTTACATGAGACCACAAGAAGTGAACGGTACTTTGTGAACACTTAGATCAAATATTCTGTGAAAGAATCCTGATCAAAAGAAAGAAAACTAGGATAGAATTTCAAATTCTCATGGAATCTAAAGTTTTTGAAGCCAGGGCAGCTGCTTGAACCTCTGAAACTACTGTCCTGAGATAACTTTAAATAAAATGATCTAAAGTATTCTTAAAATCAAACAATAGTTTAGCTTAACTAATGAGTTCTGGTGGCCAGTGGTAAGGAGTTGCACTGTCAAAACAAAGGCAAGTAATTAAAGTTCACTAGCTATTCCAAAGGATAGGCAAAGGCGGGAGCCATGAGATTTACAGCCTCTGAAAATCTGCTGAAGGGTTAGCTATGAGTTGGTTGAACTCACAGCACACAGCAACAGCAAAGAATTAGTCCTTTAAACACTTCGCTCTTTTAACATCTCAAGTACTGAATATCCCACGGACTGTCAAAAGAACAAATAAATACATCTACTCATAGAAAGTGCAACCAGAGTGCTCCTCAAAGACAAAGATAATAAAACTCCATCTCACATAATTTGGGCATGTTGTAAGGAAGGGCCTTTAAAAAAGGCATCATGCTAAGAAAAGAAAGGTGGAGGAGGGTCAGCTAAAGACAAGAAGACCTTCAACAAGATGGACATATAACAATGGGCTCAAGTATATGAGAGATGATGAGGATAGTACAGGACAGGGTCCAAATTTGCTGTTTAGAGGGTCACTCTGAATCTTGGTTGATCTCTCAAGAGATTTACTGCCTCTTACAACCTGCTGGAGAGCCTTTAAGGAATACAACAACAAACAATGGATCAAGGTGACAACAGCAATTTAAAAGATCAGATAGGAAATTTAGAGATTAGTGACAGAAGAACCTGGAAAAGGAGAATTTTTTTAAATTTTTTTTATTTATTTTTTTTTACTGAATTGTACCTGTAAAAATTGTTGAACTGGGTTTTGCTCCACTGCACACTGCACATATTCTCAATAACAAGAACCAAGTAGGAAAAAAACAACTAAGGTTTAAAACAGCCTGGCTGTTTGCTAAATTTAAGGAACAGCATTGATCTTTGTTAAATGATTTCTTACATTAAGCCTCTACCCTTAAAAAGCAGTTTTAAGAACCCTGCTTGCAGGCTAAGGTAAAGAACCTCAACTCTCCCATATGTCAAACAGAAGGACTCTCTAGATCCCTTCCGCAGGCCGATTTCCCTCGTCACGGCCCCAGGTCTGCAGCTGTCTTGGAACCCAGGCTCCAGTGCTTGACTCCAGTTCCTCATTTCTGGCCCAGGCTACATGCATTTCTCCCGGTGCCTCCGCGACTAGTGGTGCCACTGAGCATGGGCCGCAGACTAGCAGGCCAAAAGGGGGCGGGGCTGATGGCCTTCCGGACGTTACCAGGTGAAAGGGGGTAGACGGTGGGGGCTAAGAATATCAGGTTAAGAAAGGTAGAGACCCTAAAGGTATTGACTGGCACAATGATTCCAACAGGGGACTCCAACAGGGGGCTTCAGCATAGCGCAGGATCAGGCAAAGGAATAAATAGTGGTCGCTCTGAGTCGACGTCGACTCCCCAGCACCGAACACCACCGTATACCAAGGTGGTCAAGGGCAGGGCGCTGGCGGGTCGGGGAGAGGAGTGGAGGAACCAAAGGGAAAGCTAGGGAAGGAGCTAGAAGTCCTCGGAAGAATGCAAGCCAACTTAGGCGAATGAAGATCCAAGTAGCCAGTCACGGAGACTGCAGAACTTATAGGGCCTCCGACAACTGACCAAGTGGGAGACACTTGGCAAGTGACACCGCCTAGCGCCCAGGAGGTCGACGGAGCTTCGGGTTAGGGCGGCTGGAGCCTGGGAATCGGTACCTGGATAAGCGCCTTCACCTCCAGATCGAATTTGACAATCTCTTGGTTACAGATTCGGACGTGGACATCCTGGGGAGCCGCCATGTTGAGGACGCCTACTACGGGCAGCCGTAGTGTCCAAAGTTCTTTCGCATTTCGCGCTGCCTTTTCGTCCTGCTACAGCGGCCCCTAGAGGCCGGCCTGCGGCGGCGAGAAGTCGTGGGGAGCGGTCCGCGTGGAAGCCCAAGGCTGGGCGGGCTCCAGGCAGCAGTTTGCTCCGTTGCCTAGTAATTAGGACTGCCCCGGACACGTGGGGGACAATTAGCCTGGCCCCTTAGTTTGACCCTAGTAAAATCCGGCATAAGAGAGAGAATACAAAAAAAGCGTAATAGTGTGCTCGCTTCGGCAGCACACATAACTAAAATTGAAACGATACAGAGAAGATTAGCATGGCCCCTGCGCAAGGATGACACGCAAATTCGTGAAGCGTTCCAAATTTTCGACCCTGAAATTAACCAGTCTGTAACGAAGGCTAACTCCTTTCACCTACAAATTTCGTCTTTGGATGCAAAGCTAAGTGGATAGTCCTTACGGAGGGACTGTTTTAAAAAAAAAAAAAAAAAAAGAGGCAGGGAGAAGAGGGGAAAAAAAAAAGAAAAAAAGCGTTAATAGTGTCCTTTCCCCAGTGGCCTATCAGTCATTGTAATGGCTTTTTATTTGGAAAGGGGGAGAGGGGGAAACTGGAAGGAAATTATTAATTGGGATATTTATGGAAGATAGAATTACGTATTTTTTTAAATATAAACCTTTTTTCATTTTTTCACACCTTCTACAATGAGTATCAATTATGAAGTAAAAGAGACAATGGTATTTTTCATACATGGAATTCAGAGGAAATCACTGTAGCACTTGTTACTTCAACACACTGTCCAAGGAATCTTTCTAGAAACCAGAATTTTCCAAATCTCTTTCCTGCTTACAACCTTTCCATGTCCCCAGGTGGTTTCCCTGTGTACTATTGGATTTATTAACACTGCCTCACTGTAGTTGTTATAATGAATTGAAATAATGTAAAACCATACTCAACAAATGGTGGCTCTTTTATTACTGAAGTTATAAGTTTTTTCACCTGATCTAGGATTCCTCAAACACCTTCTGAATCTATGGCCTTAGAACATGTTTTTCCCTTTCCTCAACTTGAATAAGCATAGATTGTAAAGATCTTAGTGCCTGTTTCTTTTGCTTAATCCTTACAACCACCTTGAAATAGGTAGTAAGTGTTAAGGATTAATTTGGGTCTCCTCCAAAAGATATGTTCTAGTCCTAACTTGTGAATGTGACAATTAATACTAAAGCAGGGTGGGTCTTAATCCAATCCAATCGGTGTCTGTATAAAAAAGTAAAAAAGGCAGAGGAAAGAGAGCTGAGTGGCCAGTTACACTGTAGCTTGAAGCCAAGAACTGGTGCTACCCAAATTGGGAGACAAGAAGGATCTTTCCCTAGTTTTCAGACAGATCTTCACCCTGCTGACACCCTGAATTTAGATTCTTAGTCTCCAGAACTATGAGACAACAAATTTGTGTATAAGAAGGTACTTGCTTTGTGCTAATTTGTTACATGGGCCCTAGGAAACAGATACATCTCCTTTTACACATCAGGAGTCAAGACTAAGCAGACTAAAACCTGCCTAGGGTTTTCCAACTCAAAAGTACCAGAGCCATAGCTGAAATTCACTTCCTCTCTCAAACACAACTGTGACTTTTGGATGGTGGTTTCCAAGCAGGGCTTTGTGACTTGTTTAACCATCTACAGCACCCACATCCTTCCTGCACCCAACAGAGAGGCAGGTTATTGAAAACTTGAGTGTCCTTCCTGGCTGTGCTCCATGTCTATTAAAACTTGTTCTAGACTCGCTTCAGGCTTCTGTGCCAGCAGAGACTAACACCTACTTCATAGGTTTGGTTTGAGGATTAAATGAGATCATGCACAAAGAGCACCAACCTCAACACCTGACATATGGTAACAGCTCAATGTGCATTCACTGCTATTAATATATTACTGCCAATTTTTGAGCATTTCTATTGTAGCAGGCACCATAAGCTAAGTTTAGCTTTGTGTGTATATGGTCTAATTTAACCCTCACAATCCTTCAAAGTAGAACTATCTATACTTCAAGATGCAGAAATACTCTCAAAGGAAGATAATTGTTTTCCCAAAGTTACAGAACAAATGCAATTGGCAGCTCAAAGGATATAAATTTTAAATTCTGGTACATACATTCCAATTGCTCTTCATAGGTGTTCTATCGATTTACACTCCCACAAGCAATGTGGTCCAATTAAGAATTCAATTTTTGCTAATCTGATTAGGAGAAACAGGCTATCCTTCAATTTGCATTTCTTTTATCATGAATGGGGTTAAGGATTCCCCCCCCCCCGGTTTAAGATTTATTTATTTTTTCATTCTAAGAGGACCTGAAGCGCCTGCTGCAGAGCGTCAAGGACTGCAGCCTACAATATG